GTAGATAATTTGGGGTAAACCAGATGTTGACAGAAACCTTCAGTGGTATATGAATTCATGAGTCTGGAATTTATTCACAAAATTTATTCCAGAGATGTGAGTGAAGGAGTGAGGCTTTCATTGGACAAATAGAGGCATATCAAATACAGAAATACCTGCAGTCCCTGCTAAAACTTTACAGTGTCCATAGCAACAAAACTCCCCGTGTTGTATTGAAGTTCCTGACTAGTCTAAGATGAGCACAAACAAACATGTTTTTATTTCCCAGAAAGGAAATAACAGCAACCCATCTTAGTGCAAAAAAGCAACCTGACTTTAAGGTGATCTTTTGAGACAATAAATAATAACGCAGCCAACACAACGTGCAGAGCTGCCTGTGTGTGCAAAATCAAACCTGGGACCTGGAAACAGTGAGTGATAGACCTGACCTAAACCAAGATCCTGAAGAGTAAATCCACAAAACAATGGGCAGGAGAGAAGTGCTGAGGAAGGAGGGAAGAAGAACTACGGAGTTGGAGCCCAGGAGCTAGGATTAGGAGCCCCAAGAGAAGCCAGGGATGGAGAACATTACAGAATGTTCTCACTCCAGCTGGAAGAACAGAGCCTGGCTCTGTGGGTATCTATAAGCCAGGCACTGATCTCTGAGTCACTCAAAATCTTTTTCTTTGTAGTTGCAGAGGTACAGAGCTACCTACTGAAGCAGCCCTGGGCCACAAGGTGCTCTGAATGAATGATTGGTTCTGTGAACCGGACTATAATGTATTCTGATGAGCAGCAGGCTTCAGATTTGGAGCCCAAATGCCCAGAGGAGTGACTAGGGATTTTCTTTTGAAAAAAATGTACACAGTGTAACAGCTTTGTAATTGTGGAGATTTTACCTCATAATTCACAATCCTATATTGAAGAAAAGGAAATTTGAAGTACCCATGCTGAAAAAAAAAGAAGAAATTCTTCAGAGTCCCTTAAGTAAATAACTTTCCTTAAAATCTGTTTTGTGCCAAAACTCCCTTGGAGGAAACAAAGGATGTTTTTCAATGTCATTCTCTTTTGTTTTTTTTTTGTTTTTTGTTTTTTTTGTTTTTTTTATTCTGGAAGGAACAGTTAGGAGTTGGTTTCAATAGAATGCCCCTGCAGCCTAAACTTATACACAAGTGCCTACTTGTGTGTAATAATATATACAATATATAATAGGGCAATGTAGATTCCCTCTTAAAATGCACCATGTTATGTTCTTGAAGCTATTTAGCAAAATGAGGAATTAGCTTCCTTTAATAAACCAAATGACATCTACCTTGTAGCACTAGAAAATTAAAAAATTAATGTGCATCATGAGACAGCCTCTGCTTAATTTGCATCCCAGTCTCGAGAAGACACTATACAAGTAGGTCCCCACTACTGTATTTCATTAAATAGTTATATATTTCACTATTCATTGTGTATCTACCTCCATAGAAGTGTCACCTTTCTTACTGAGGGGAATAATTCTACTTTCTTTTCAAATAAAAGACCAATTAAGGCAATTTTACTTTAAAATGGCAACTAATCTTTTCATTGTGTGTATGTCAGTATTAATGTTCAGATCACAAAGACTCTGCCAAAAAAAACTAAGTTTTGGATCACTAGGAAGTATGTTTCATTCATAGAAAAGGGATGTATTCAAATGTTTTCTAAGTAGATGCAGATTTAAAATAATAATTACTATTTTAAATGATAATGAATCGTTTTATAGCAGTTTACTATAAACCACCCAATGTACTATATCACAGTCAATAATCCCACTGGGATTTAACAAGTGTACTTAGTAATTTTACTTTAGCATCTGTCGATGCTAAGTCTTGTAGTAAACCTAAAGAATAAATATTAATTGACTAAAAACCAGGAAGAAGAGCAGCACAAATAATAGCACACATAGGAAGAACGTAGCGATAGGAACAGGCAGAGAGATGCCAATGTCTGTAATCTACTCACAGCTTCCAAGAAGCAGGATGTGCAAATCGTGAAGGATTTTTTTTTTCTGCTTACCACCAGTCTAACTTAAACTATTATATAAAAAAGGGTTACCTTTGGCTTAATCCCCGTGTATCTATTTGCCTTTAAGTTAAATGTTAAAATTCTGATTTGAAATTTCATTTGTTGGTAGTTGGTAGTGATGAGCGGCATCGGAATACTGTGTCAGTAAGCAGGGTTTTGATGGACGTGTCATACCAAGGACATTGCTCCTGGCCACATTTTAGACGGTTGTTTGTTTGCTTTGCTGGATTTTTTTTTCTTTCATTTAAAATGCCCTATTTAAAGCCTCAAATCTAGACATGACTTTTTCCTTTGCTTTTCTTATCCGAACAACCTAAAGACATTGAAACTCCTCAAGCTGCACCGTCCATTGAGTTTTGCTTTGTAAAACCGAAGTGATAATGAACAAAATTCCCGCTACGATAAAAGAAGCGCCACGGATAAAACGCATCTCACAGTGGTCAGACCGTAGGAAGCAGCTCTTCGATAATCCGGATGGACTCTGGGAGATTAGCTCACTGTACTAAAACTGAACTGAGTGAATACCACTGCTCCTGTTCCCTGAGCAAACTTGCTACATTTCAAATAGTTCACATCTCAGGTTAATAGAGTAAAATTTTAACATGAAATTTTAACACTGTATTCAAATAATTCTATCCATTAAAAAAAGCTATTTCCTTTACGTTATTATTGACTTTTTCGTGGATGTACAAAATAACTAGAGTCAGGGTTTTTCGTTTTTGTTTTTAGTCTATCTAAAGGCATTAGTAAATTTGAGGAAAATTCTAATCATTAAATCTCAGATTAAAATTAACCTGAGATGCAGATCAAGTGAAAAGCAAACACAGCCTTTAGAAATGCCTTGACAAATGAAGGTCACGAAACGAGACCTTTTCGGTGGTTTGAAATCACCTTCCAGTTGTGCTCTTTCAGACTTCTCCCTGCAACCCCATCTTCCCCCTCTCTAGCCTTTTTTGATTAAATAATGTTCCTCGGCTCTCGGCGCCTATTTTCTTTGTGTGAACTTGTCAAATCATCTCAGTCTTGTCTTTTGTAGTTTAAGAGGCCTTTATGTAGCTCTCTCAGAGACTAACTCAAAAATCTGACCTGGAGAATAATTTATGGGATTTAGAATGGAGGGCCATTATTAACATTGTCTTGCCTGCATTGAGCGTGCAAGACACCTCCCCCCAACTCCCCGCCCCCACCCCGTTCAAGCATGGCAGGATTTTAACTCAGTCATCAGAGGTAGAATCAGCTAAGGGGAGGCTTGGGAATAATGTCATTGGTCCTGTGAGCTTGCATTGATTTCCACTTTAAAAAAAAAAAGAAAGAAAGAAAGAAAGAAGGCATGGATTGTTCAAATAGATTAAAGAACATTACGAAAACATGTCTTAGGGTGTGTACTTATCTCTACCATTCCCACAAGTATTTCTGTGGCTATAAACATGGTATCAAAAGTGGTAATTTTATACATCCTTAGATTCTTATCTAATATTCAATAATATGCAGAGTGGATGTTCTTCAGCACAAAGCTGAACGCAGAGAGAGCACGCAAGAGTGGATTTTCTGTCTTGAAGAGAGGTTAATTTTAAGTGTTTTTACTTTATCAGAGTACTCCTGACTTGTGTTCAACCGTCATTGGCACTAATGATGTTTACGCGGCTCAAAGAAAATTACGCTTTTTCTTACTGTTTCAGTGCCCAATGTCTTTTTCTTATTACAACAGACAAATCTAATTACTTCTGATGAATCTGAAGAGCTGTGATTTGAGTCATGAATAATTCCATTCCAGCCCAAGTTAAATCTTGGATGCACCCATGGAACTTAGCCTTGTATAAGTACATTGTATATAGATGCTAAATAAGGAGACATTTTAACTCATAGCAGTTGGCAACTATAATAGAAAACTGTGTGTGTGTGTGTGTGTGTGTGTGTGTGTGTGTGTGTGTGTGTGTATGATCTACTTTGTTATGTTAAACAGAGCCTATAAATCTACCTGCTCTATTACCCAAAACTCATCACTTCCTCCTCTCCATCCTCTGTGCGTTCCCTCTGAGCTCTGCTTCAGGGTGTCTATCTTTCTTTTGATATCTCTCTTCATAAGTCTTCTGTCTCCTTAAAGATTCTTGACGTCACTCAATCCTATGCCTTGAGTATAAAAAATAAAAAAATGATAGCTAACAGTTCCTGCTATGTGCTGAATGCCATTCCAAGGTGTGTTTTTTTCCAGTCTATTAATTTTAATCAGCCACGATATTTTTCACTTGATAGAGAAGAAAACAGAAATAACCATTAAGCAATCAGGGAGTATGCTCACAGCCCATGCCTGGTCAAGCCCTATACATCTCTCCATGATCTCTTCTCAAGGCACCAAGGACTTATTCCTTGCCTTCAACCTGGTTATAATTTTTACATTTGATTTTCTATTTGTGTGATTAATATCTGCATATTCTACCATGCCAGAACATATTAGCAACTATAATGTGATCAATAAGGAATAATTCCAGTTACCATTAGTTAAGCATTCCTGCCAGCCACTGCATCTTAATACTTCTTGTAAGACTCAGTAAGCTACTTGCCAATTTTACCTCTACTGAATAGATGAGGAGGCTGAGGCAGAGAGGGGATTTATACAAGATGGCAGAGCTGGTATACAATGGAACCAGTGTTCAGACTCAGAAAACTGCCTGGAAAGCTATGCTGTGCATAAATGCAGAGTTAATGGGAAATTAGTTTGGGGAAATTAGTTTGGGGAATTAGTTATGGGAAAGGTGATATGCAATATATGTAGAGGTAGAGAAAGAGTCCAGGCCAGGCCACAGCGCCGATAAAATCCTACAGACAGTACCACTGGAGCAAAACAAGTGCTGAGAAAGTCCAGCCGCAGATGTGGATGCCTTCGCTACGTTTGGTTAACTGGTTCCACTGCTGATGTTCCATTTCTGTCTCCCCCGCCCTCTCTTTCTCTCTCTGTCTCTCTCTTCCAGTGCCACCGTGGGCCTTAATTGCCATAGCCATAGTCGCGGTCCTTCTAGTCGTGACCTGCTGCTTCTGTGTCTGTAAGAAATGTTTGTTCAAAAAGAAAAACAAGAAGAAGGGAAAGGAAAAGGGAGGAAAGAACGCCATTAACATGAAAGATGTGAAGGACTTAGGGAAGACCATGAAGGATCAGGTAACGCGCTCGCCCCCCTCCTACCTAGTCATAGACGCCCCCGAGAATTCACCGGCGGGGTTGTGCTCTTTTCTGCAGATGCTTATAGACCTGGACAACTTGGGGCTACTGATGTTTTTGTAGAGATGCTTGGTGGTCCTTTCAGGTATGACCTGGTCTCCCAACGTATAGGGGAGACAGGTACGGTGGTAGATTATTCTCCTGATGACATACATACACCAGGAGAGGCTTCCACACCATGAGGTGTGGCTTCACGGGCCTGGCATAATAAGATAATTCCTGAACATTTTTATTCCATCTCGTCAGCCAATCCTAATTGTTTAGAATTTTTAAGAAAGGTAATGCAAGGTATCTGAGTGCTTTCTGTCTTAGACAGGGGCTCTTTCTGCCTCGTGCACGGCTCATAGTCTCTGTGAAAGCTCTTCATTCTACTTGGTCGATGCCAACCCTGCTGCGCACCCCGCCAGCTCAGCCGTCAGATGCCAGAAACAATAAGTTATATGTGGTGAGGGGAGATAGGGTCCAGTCCTAAAGAACAAGACCGAGTTGAAAGACAAAATGATATTTCCTCAATTAGTGATCGTAATTAGAACCCCAGCTATATTCTTGAGCTGTCTTCTCATGTGTGGAAAAGATGTTTGGTTTCCCTGGCAGGGCTGCCTAATTTTAACTAAGTTAACTGGACAACTTAGTTAAGGTAAAGATGAATAAAAAGTATTAAGTGTTTCTTCATTTTTGGAATAATGCTTACATTGTTTCTAAATAAAATTTAATTCATATGAAATGAGAGTATAAAGATTTTTTTTCATAGAAGTATTTGGAAATTTTGTTTTCTACCAGATAATTTAAAAGCTCTGTTAGTGCCCAAATAGTAACCTGTGCAGGGAGTTTTTCTGATTTTTTTTATGGCATTACTATTAGCTGAATCATTAACACATGCATCTAAGAACAATTTGACCAGGGCTTAACAAGAGCCTCATAGCAGACATGTAGAGACAGCATCCTGGGTTTCCACACATGGACTCTCATATTCTAACCCTCCTTCCCAGTGTGAGTGTTCAACTCCTTCTCAATGACCCTGCAGTGTCTATGGACAGAAATTTCCCAGGGGCCCATGTCCCATTCCCTGTAGTCCAGCTTGGTTTCAGAGCTATAGAATGGATGTGAAGTCTGTTCTCCTGCTCAGAGAACTTTGGCCTGAGCTCAGGGTAACAAAGATTCAATTTCTCCAGCAGTTTCTCATCAGTCACAGATGCTCATGTACAGCTACAGATAACTAAGAAGGATTTTCCTCTTCATTTAATTTGTTAAGAAGATACTCAGATTTTGGCTTATAACAAGTAGGGTTTAATACTGATGTCTCTTCCTTTTTTATTCATTTAGTTTTTTTTTAAGACAGGGTCATAGATTTTTTTTTAAACATTGTATTATTACATATAGAAATAATTTACCTTGGTGAATGTGGGCTAAAAAAAGGATGTCATTTTAGCAATATCTTTGAAAACAAAATCTTGAATACACAGTGCTATTATTTTCATAATTATTATAAAATTCAACTGTGATTTTTTTCATGTATCCTGGAATGAAGACTTCAAAGCATTGATTAGTTTTTTAAGTGGTAACTACAGCAGTTCTTTCTAGGATAAGAATGTTATATTTTTATTTGTGGATTTGTTCTGTATGATGTAATACTACAGTTGATGGCATAGTGCTAGTATCCCCAGTACACCATGGATAAATGACCAGGCTCTCACATATAGACTCGGTGGTGCTCTTCCATCTATCCCATTCCTTTGGAAGGGTTGGGGCAGAGGAATTTGAATCAAATTGTGAACTAGTAGAAAAAGTCAGTGAGCGTTTATAATAATTTACTTGATATAGCAAAGTATCTAGAACTTCACCACTTTTGGTTTTAATTACTTTAAGTCAACAATGTTGTGTGCTCAGGGCTCTTAGCTAGGTATAATTTTCTTAATCTTAAATGTATAGAATAAAATATAATGGGAACAAGTGAAAATTGTCGTGCCCTGTGATAATTGTGTACCAATGGTATATGTTTCTACCCATCCTTACAGAAAGAGCTAATAGATTTTGAAAATGAAGGCTGAGGATGAAAAAAGAGAATTTGGAAGAATGATCTGTCACATTGTGTCCCAGAATCCTCCAAATTATACAGATTAAATTCATTTTTAAACACTGTATTTTCGAAATAGCGAAGGGAAGTAAGGACAGTGTATGGTCCTCTCTTGAAAAGACAGGACAGATTAAAAACAATTTTTAGATGTGACTGCTGAGGCTGTATAACCTTAGGGCAATCAATAAGTTTTTATTCCTTCAATACATTCCCAACTCCCAGAAATTCAAATTTTAACACTCATGGCTATGTATCTCTATTAAGATTTCATAACCAAGAAATAATATCTTTAAAATTCAGCAATGACTTCAAAAGTAAACTCTAGATATAGTATATTTATGTTCCAAAAGATTCATGTATTGGGGTTTCTTATAATATTTTGAATCTTGAAATGACTAGCCATGAAGGGGAGATGATAGCAACTTGTAGAATAAGAAGCTTAGACGGGTCATTTCTCCATGGTTTTCACTGATGTGCGTGGATATTTTAATTTTTATTTCTTCCTTCTATGTCCTCCTTATCTGTGTTGTGTCTCATGACTGTTCTGGATTGTCCCTTGCGGTAGGTTTCTTCTGCTACTAGATATCCCCAATCAATGCTGGTGGCTGGGCTCCACAGCTGGTGGCTTACCATTCTGACATCTAAAGGCTGAACTCAACTGATCTTCAATGATGACATATCATTTTAAACATGGCTAATAACATGGGTTAAATAGAACAGGATTGGAATGTTTTGCATTGATAGATAGGAAAGAAAATGCAGTCCCTTATGGCACCTTTTAATATGCCTTACCAAATCCTATCTGAACGGTATAACTTAGAATGAGCAAATGCTTTAACTGATGACTGTGGACTAGGTAAATATTGAACACCAAAGTAAACCACAGGCATGCCCCTCTAAGCCTGGGCACTTTATAAAAGCCCTGATGTTCTCAACAAAGCTTTCCTGTTACAATCTGCCTGACTTCAGAGCTGCTGGGCTTACAAGCTTTTTCATCTCAGGTGGTTTTTGGTTGGTTGGTCGGTTGGTTGGTTGGTTGGTTGGTTGGTTGGTTGGTTTTTCCCTGTGGAGGGAAAAATATTGCTCTTAAGATATTATAATACTACTGATTTAATAGGTCTGAATTTAGTGAAATGTACACTGTGTACACGTTGATGAAGCTCAGCCTCTGAGACAGGAATAGACTTCACTTTGGTGATGAACAAGAGCACCAAAAAATTATCAAAAATTTAGCCCCATTTAATGAAAAATAGTTACAGAAATGATCTGTGCTTTCTATTCCGGTAAAAACCACTTAGGGAAAAGGAGATTTCATATCTCGGCTATTTCAAATTGCATTGGGCTGAAACATGATATATAAATTGTCAGTTCTGAAAAGGGACTTTTGAAAACGTATTTAAATTTGTGATTTTTTTTTTGAGACAATGGGGTGACGTGTAGGTATTTTCAGTCAGTGGATTCATTTAGGAATTTTCTGTTTTTTTTTTTAAATCAAACTATTAAAAGGAAATAAACTACCTAAACAATAATTTCTTTATACATACCCTCTAGGGCAGTGCTAAAGACTATTCATAGCTAGGGTTCTCAGAGACAAATGGAGACTACTACCTAAAGTGTTCTAGTCAAAATCAGCCATCTCTTAATGCAGTTTTATCAATAACTGTGTTGCTTCCTGCTTTAGCCCTTAACAAAATTACTTTAATATTCAAGGAAGTGCCCACGTATAAATTAATCTTTCCAAATTAAATGGTATAGGGCTAGCCACATTTGAAAATGGTAATTTTCAATTTTTTTCAGACTTGTTGTTGACTCCTGAGATGTGTCAAAAGGCACAAAGGATGACACACTCGTGACGACAGCTCAACTCTGTTCAGATGTTCTTCTAAGCAGAGAGCAGAACTAATGAGCTCTGTCAGTCGTGCTGCAAATGGATTTGGGGATCGTTGTGGGGTTAGCATTGAGGAGCCAGACTCCAAGACAGAGGTGGTTATTTCAAGCGCCATGAGTGCTCACTGTGCAAATGATGAGGGAGTGAAAGAGCCTCCATTGAGAATAATGACAGCAGAGGAAACGTCCATGTAGACAGACAGACAGGACAGCAAGATAGCGAACCAGAGTCTGATGGCCCTGGGGCCTTTACATCCTGGCTAAACCTCTCGTATTTGAGTTCTGTAAGAATTCTCGAAGATCAGCTCAAGAGCTGACGATAGTTAGACAATAGTAGAGACTCTTTTAATATTATCAGAAATATAGTGCAGTCCACTGCTTGTCTGCTTTATTTCGAGTTCTGTGAGATTCTGCAGCAGCAGACACACAGCAAATACGTGATGGCTAGTTGGAAACAGATAACATTTGCTCCATTAAAAAAAAAATGAGCAAGGAAAATATACAGGCAGTAACCAGAAGAAATATGTGAGTGGCTAGTATAGATACCTTTAAAGTTTTCAAACATACTAGTGAACGGGGAAATGGATTTTTTTGTAATTTTCAATTGTAAAGAATGACCGTGCATACAGTATAAGTTTATCTGTTCATCCCCATGAAGAACTCTTCCAATAGCATAAACCTTTGTAGTAGAAATATCCAGCACAGTTTTTACATCTTAGGAAAATGTTACAGACTTTTGATTTTTGAAATACAGAACTGTATATATTTTGTGACATAATGACCTTTCAAATAACTTTATTTTATATTCTGCCTTTTAGATTGAAGAATATTTAATTGTTTAGACTAAGTTCTCTAAGTCTAGCACCATGGCCCTTGTTCTTCAATGCAAAATGAATTTTATACCTATATGAGGTTTTCTAAAACGATAAACAGGACTCTTTTGTCTTTGATATTAAATAAACTCAAATCAGTTTAGTTCAGCCTGGCTTTCTGAGGAGCAGTTATGAAAAGGAAGTGGTAAAGTTCAACCAGAAATGGACTGAACTTCTCTCTACTCAGCATTTGCTGCTGGCATGTGTCTTCCTTGTATCTCAAATCTTACGATCATAGATGTGAAAAGGCAAAGGATTTCCATCTCCCGAGGGGTCACTCAGCCATCTTTGACAGAAGCAATAAGGCAGCAGAAGGCCATGCATTCCATGTGACTCCCTCCACTGCATGCACCAATGATGTTTTACATGATGCTGAGCACCGCCGCCGCTACGAGAATGTGAAACCCAGCCTGGATACAAGCATGTTCATCATACTAGGGGAAAAAAAAGAAAGAAAGAAAGAAAGAAAGAAAAGATGCAGTGTAATCCAGACAAGAGAATACCGAGTTGACATTTTTCTTGCAACAGTTTCATATTTTTGCTTGCCTTACTGTAAGGGGGCTTCTTCCATTGCTTCCATGATGCTTGCTGATGGGGGTCAGGGGGAAGGTTCATGCACAAGTACAATTTAAAAACATGTGTGCGTGAGCAGCCAATGGGAATGTGTCAGGCAAATAGACATCCAGCATCTTAGTGCTTGCTACGAACAGCTTGGAGGGCTGACTACATGGCCAGTTTAATTTGGTCTTTGGTTAAAATTCGTTGGGATTTCTTTTTTCCTCCTCATAGGCCCTTAAGGATGACGATGCTGAAACCGGACTGACTGATGGAGAGGAAAAGGAAGAGCCCAAGGAAGAGGAGAAACTGGGAAAGCTCCAATATTCACTGGACTATGACTTCCAGAATAACCAGGTCTGAGGGGGACACATCTAATTCCATTACATTTTCTGACATTACCAAGTAGGAATTGAAGCAAGATACTCCTTGAAACATTTCCTTTGCTGTGAGCGGAAAATGCAATTATCAAAGCTATTGATGAAATCATTTCTAAGTACAGGCAGTCCCCTAGCTGCTAATTTAACTTCTGGTAATTAGAATTCACAGTATTCGGCCGATTACATCTACTCGTGGCACTGACAGGAGGCAGGCAGAATACAAATTAACTCTAAGCCATCAGTTGTTACTTAGAGCTCACAGCCAGTCAAGTTGCTATTGGTCTTGCGGTGTGAATAGGAATAACCTCTATTGAACTGTATAGATTTCAACTCCAAACCACATTTAGAAAAATTAAGTTTGAAAAGCCATAAAAGAATTAAAAACTGGCCAATGCTCTATGGCATTTATTTATTTATTTATTTATTTATTTATTTATTTATTTTACAACCCAATATCAGCCCTTCCTCTCTTCCCAGTACTTTCTTACACAAGTCCTCCTTCCATTTCCTTTAGAAAGGGACACTCCCCTCTGGGTGTCAACTCCCCACAAACACTCCCATCCCACTCCTACACCCCACCCCTCTACCCCTCCCATCCTGCACATCAAGTTGCTGCAGGACTAGGCACATCCTCTCCCATTGAGGCAAGGCAAAGCTGTCCATTTAGTGATGCAGGATCCACAAGCAAGCAGGTAGGCAGTAGACTCAGGGACAGCCCCTGTTCCAGTTGTCCGGGGGCCCCTTATTCAGGCCAAGCCGTTCACCTGCTACATATGTGCAGGAGGCCCAGGTCCAGCCTGTGCTTGCTCTGTGGTGATTCAATGTCTAGGAGCCCCCAAGAGTCCAGGTTAGCAGACTCTGTTGGTCTTCCTGTGGAGTGCCTGTCCTCTTCCAGTTCCCCAATCCTTTTTCCAATTCTTCCGGAAGACTCTTTGAGCTCCATCTACTGTTTGGGTGTGTATCTGTATCTCTTTGCACTGGCTCTTGGGGCTCTATGGCTTTTAAAGGCCATACCTTATACCTATACATATACCTACACCTACACCTACACCTATACCTATACATACCTTATATGTAACACCATGAGTCTGGGTGAGACTCTGACAGTGATAAGCTAGCAAGGTTTTGAAAGCAGAGAGATGAGCAGCTTGATTCTGAGAGCCCAAGGAGGCTGCCTGGAAGTGACAAGACTGAAGGCTGCAAAACAGCCATCCCTGCTTCTGTTTCTCAAAACGGGCTGAAGTGCTGTAAGATCAGTGACAGCAGCCGCTTTTCACTGAGTACCTATTATCTAGGTAACTCAAAACATGGAAAATGCCTTTGAAATCCCTTCTAGGTAAGATCCACAATATTAATGACTATCGCTTTACTTTCTGAATTTCGAGAAGGGTACATAAGATGTGTAAGTTCACAATGTAGCCCTTGCTCTATCAGGGAGTCCAGATCTCCCCCACTCATCTTGTACCCCTCCTCCTTTGCTGGGTGTCTTAGGGTTTTACTGCTGTGAGCAGACACCATGACCAAGGCAACTTTTATAAGGACAACATTTAATTGGAGCTGGCTTACAGGTTCATCATCATTATCATCAAGGTGGGAGCATGGCAGCATCCAAGCAGGCATGGCTCAAGAGGAGCTGAGTGTTCAACGTCTTGTTCTGAAGGCAAACAGGAGAAGACTGGCTTCTAGGGAGCTAGGATGAGGGTCTTAAGCCCACACCTACAGTGACACACTTCCTCCAACAAAGCCACACCTACTCTAACCAGGCCACACCACCTAATACTGCCACTCCCTGGGCCAAGCAAATTCAAACCACCACATACTACTCCCTGGTCCCTATAGCCTCAAATACATGGGGGCCATATCTAGCCATAGCACCAAAGTCCCCATAGTCTATAGCAATCTCAACAATGTTAAAAGTTCAAAGTATCTTTTGAGATTCACCTATAGGGGCCTGCCAACTGCTCCAAACAACATCTCTATCCGGTACTCAAGTGGGGCTCATGTTTGGAATCTGAGTACTAGAAATACTGAGGCAGGTGATTTCCCACAACTTCATGTCCAGCCTGTACTACAGAGTAAGATTTTATTTTTTTAAAAATGCCACATTATTTTAATATTCATGGTGAAAATGAAAATTTTATTTGTGAAAAAAATACATTGCAGATAAAATTTCTATATTAGGAAAAATCAAAAACAATTATTTACCATGAATATTCAAGTCTATAATTCTCCTTTTAGAAAACTTGAATTATATATTTTGTTCTGCATCCTACATTTAAATGCAAGCTTTCTTAGGTAATTGTTCAATCATAAGCTAAGCTTTAAAAAAAACGTAGATAACACACAAGGATAGGTCAAGTGGGAAAGAAGTGTGAAGCTCTCAATTTTTATTTCAAAATACTAGTCGGTGACTAAGAAATTTCCATTTAGCTGTTCTGCGACTTCAGAAAGAATAATAAAAAAAAAAAACCCTGCTTTGCAATTGCAGGCTAGTGGTTGTTTAACGATTTATTTCTACTTATAAAGCATGAGCTGGAAGGAAAAACAATGCACAAGAGCTTTTAGCAACTGGGAAGTTATTTGATTGCAACCCTTCTGCAAATATGAATTCCATATTTAACTGTAATCAGCAACCTTTTAAAAGCCTCTTTTGTACTTAAAACTAGGCTTCCTAGAGCCTGCATCTGTCATAATCTGGTGTCTAATGTTTAAAGAGCTCACTGCATGTGCCCTCTCTATTCAGATGCATGAGAATAAAAGTTTACTAAAAGCAGAGGGAACAGGGGACATCACAGTGTGCGACACTGAACCAATCAATCCCTCTCCAAGGACTCACCCTTTGTGTTGCTCGTTGGCTGTTGTTCATTTCAGCTGTTGGTAGGAATCATCCAGGCTGCTGAACTGCCCGCCCTGGACATGGGAGGGACATCTGATCCATACGTCAAAGTCTTCCTGCTGCCCGACAAAAAGAAGAAGTTTGAGACAAAAGTCCACCGGAAAACCCTCAATCCAGTCTTCAATGAACAATTTACTTTCAAGGTAGAGTTCTGGACTCATAACTTTTCCCCTATGGTTTCAGATTAAATACGAGTTGTATCCTGACATGCATAAAAGCACACACATCAATAGTTACTCTAGGATTCCTCACGGTTACATTCGGAATATTTTACATTTTCACTTTCAGTCTAGCCAAGATTCTGTGATGCAGGTTTTGGCTGTGTCATTTCAGAGTAGATCTTCCCATATCAGCATCACTCTTAAGAGCCCAAGGTCTACTCCATGTGTGCCTATGGACTCGGACACTACACCCCATTACCTCCAAAAATAAGGCCCATGCGTTTACTTTCAGAATTCCAAAGTCTCTGAAAACTAGGCCATGCCTGTAAGGCCTGTTGCAGTCAGAATGGAGGAAGCTGTTCTCCAATGCTTACCTTACCAATGCAGGGGAAGTTTGAACATGCTAAAGCCTTCCCTCCTAGCAATAAAAAGGTTATGGGATTCTCCAGCATCAATCCTTTTCTCTAGGCTCTTCTCTGATGCTTTCATCATGTTGAGACACATCAGTTGACAAACAATAACCAAGAGACATTCTGACCATAAGACTACTTATCAAAGTGTCGTGCCCCGCGAGCCGCAAGGCACCTTGTAACTCTTCACTGGGAACCCTTCATCAAAATGGTGCTTCTGGTGGAGATGCGGAATTGTTTTAAAATGTTTTCCTTAGAACAATACATTTCAGGAAAATGAAATTTCTGTGAATATGCCAGCAGGCAGATTCAAAATTACCCCGTCCACCAGCCAGGCTTAGCAATAACATGAGCCTCGTGTTGGCAAACATTCCGGTGGGAAAAGGAAATGGGGGCATGAGTCACCTCTTCAAATCTTGTTTGCAATTTAGTGAAAGAGCAGCAGTCTTCCTATTCTTTAAAGGTTTCGAGTTTTAAAGATATAATGCCTTAGTTTTTCCTTGCCTGGGCCATGAAAAGAGCAAGAATCAGAGCCTGAAAATCCCTGCCTTCAAAACAAGTCATTATAAACCCTATACCAGAAGTGTTAAATATTAATTACTTAAAATCATGTAGCTAGTAGTCAATAACATTTTATTTGGCTATATATACTTCCAAATGGAGTTTAATAGACTCATATTATTTTAAGGAATGCTGAAATAATTTTATAGTGTCCCACTCTATTGCTTGCATATTAATTCTTTTGAAGCATATTGATGCTAATATTTTACTTATGTCTATGACTACAAGAACCATTTTTTAACTTTTAATCATCTATAAATTTTTATAATTGCCACATTATTGTATTTCAGGAAAGTAGAGCAGGCTGTAAACATGAAGAAATATGTTGATTCCCACAGTAGACATTGTAAACTGTATCTTGAAATCCCAGACCGACATGCAGTATAGAAGTAGAAGCTTGTAGACTGGCCTTTGAGAGGATTAAATGTACTTAAGACGTTCAACATGCCCCAAAATAAATTCATCTTCTCTCTACTAAAATACACTCCTATTTGGAGGATGTATTAATAATAAATGGGTTGAAGAGCCTACCATGGACTAGATGTTTAAACTATACTCTCTCATTCTCAAAATGGCTCCACAGAGTGCAGACTCCTGATGGCTGGAGAAGTCGAGTTTGTTCGTGTGCCCCAGGTCCAAGTCTACCTGACCCAAAGCACGGACATCATGGGGACTGTTCGCGCATGACCAAATATCCAAGAACTACAATTTAAAATTTTAAGGGATTCCATATTACCACTCTAACATTTGTTGATTTTATTGAAATTCGGATCTTTTCAAGCTTATTTAAGATCCTTCCAAAAATAGAAAAAAAAATTATACTCAGTTTTCATTCACAGGATTTTAGAAAAATAACCTGGTTCTGATCATAATTCATAACTGATGAAATTCATAACTACTCTTTAGAAAGCTCACATTTCTTGTACATAAATGGTCAATTAAACTTTCATCTTTTTTCCTTCTAATAAGTTCTTTGAGAGGGGTTTGCTGGGACGTACAGCACATACACTCATAAAATCTTTCACGTGTAAAAAACTGATCAAATATATAGTACACATCTAAACAATCCTTGGATGAGACGTTTCTACCCACTTACTAAAGGGTAGCTTAGTTGGTATGCACAGCTTTCCCTGAATTTTAAAAAAATGTCACTAGCAAACTCTGCAAACCGTAGCATCTGTCCCAAATGGATTGGAACAGCTGGAGAATTCACTCCTCCTTGGCCTTTTGCTACAACTCATGCTAAGGAGTATCACACTTACAAAGGAACTTCAAGAGCCGTATGATAATGAATCTGTGCTATTCAAAACATCAATTTTCCAGTCAGCTCATGTCAATCACTAAATTATTTTAGAAAGTATGAGAGGCACTTTGTGAATTTCATTTAGATCCTTTTAGACGACTAGCAGAGCTTTGGAACAAATCACCCCTTCATTTAACTATGGTCTAGACCAGTGCTTCTCAACCCTCCTAACGCTGCGACCCTTTCATTCAGTTCCTCATGTTGTGGTGAACCCTCCCCAATCATAAAATTATCTCTGTCGATACGTCATAACTGTAATTTTGCTACTATTATACATGATAATGGAAATATCTGTGTTTTCTGATGGTCTCAGATAATGCCTATAAAAGAGTCATTTAACATCCTCCCACAAGAGGTTGCATTCTGTGACCAGCTGTCCTCTCCTCACCTCCTTCTGTGCAGGTGCCATACTCGGAATTAGGTGGCAAAACACTGGTGATGGCTGTGTATGACTTTGATCGCTTCTCCAAGCATGACATCATTGGAGAGTTCAAAGTCCCTATGAACACCGTGGATTTTGGCCATGTAACCGAGGAGTGGCGTGATCTCCAGAGCGCTGAGAAGGAAGAGGTAGGAAATCCATTAGTATTTCTAACATGACAAGCTGCGTTCACTCACCTGTTGCTCTTCATATACTAAGCCATAGAGAGATGATCTTCCTGAAGGATGACATGGGCCTTCAAAGTGAAGGCTGCCAAAACAGACTCAGAAGGATCATATGACCCTGCAAAAATATATTCAAGGCTTCTGGGTAGAATTTAAAAGAGAATAGAGACATAACATGCACTGGGCTGTGTAAACAACCCTTTCCTTTAAAAGACAGTGGGCAATCATCTTGTATTGTCTGCGTGGGTTTCAGAACTATCACAGTGAAGTAAACGGGCGCTTTTCCCTTGATTATGTCAGCATACTGAGGTTTGTTGTTTCTCATGCAGACATCAAAACATAATGGGTAAAGAAAAGAAACTATTACACACAAAAGCTGATATTAAGTCCATTTTTTAAGTGAGTCGTATCTTCATAGGACTATGCACATTGTTTTTCTCCTGGTTTTAATAGCCGAGTATTTTTCTGTCATTTAAAAAGAATTCAGTATCCATAGTGCATTTACACTCCATAGTAACCAATTGTGTTGGATTGTGCTGTGCTAGCCTGGCATGGGCGTTTGTCTGTGTGAATGTCTCAGCAGGCTAATATTAGAAAAACAAACAGCCCTTAGCGTCTCTCAGTTCTAAACAAACTCCGTTCACAGCCCCTCTTTAGGACGCTGGCAATAATTTTCCAGGATCTCTATGTTTAGTCACTCTGGGGCCACATAGATCTCAGCCTGGTTCATTACCATGAGAATCTTTTCGGCCACCTACACCTACACGCTTCAAACCCGTAATAGAATATGAAAACTTTTAACACATATGTTGAGATTTACACTTTAAAAATTACTATTTTGTTCTATAAAAGGAAGCAAACTGATTTGTTAATCTCTGCTTTGTGAAAATAATACTAATCAAACATCACATTCCTTAATATTGAGATCAGAGTTTGCCTTACCGTGAAAAAGCACCAATAGAAGAAGAATCCTGAAAAGTACCAAATTTTTAACTCTAAGGATTTTATATGTGATTCTTTCTTATGGGTGAGCTAATACTGATGTCAATTCAAGTACATATATGATGAGAAAGCCAATTATTCAGTAATACTATTTGTATCCAACAAGCTAGCGAGATGTTTCATGAGTTTTTGTATTTTATTTGAATATAATGCATTTTTACTAACTGACCGGTAGTCATTAATTCACTTGCTTTCGGTTGGCTATGATCCACTTCTATCTGACAAGGCAAGGTTATGTCTCCTTGGCTTACGGCTCTAACTGCTTACCTATTACCAGGTTCATGGAGTAGGATTCTACAATCACACCCGTTGACTTTCTGAGAGGTGCTGTGCCTGTATTTAGGGAAACTGCCTAGTAGTCTGCATTCTTTCAAAAATTCCTCAAGTAAATACAGAGTTTTAAGACTCAACAGTAAACCAGTAGATTGGATCTAAGTAGATGACTTTCCTTCTTTCTCTCGATGTTCCCGTCTTAGTTTGACTGTTTTCTTCTCCCATAACTTCTCTAACACATCTGTCACCCAAATCATGGAAAACAACTCATTCTGAAAATAGTAATTACCAGATTCCTGGAAATATGCTGCCGTGCTTTTTAGTGAAAATAACAGGTGTGTGTAACAGTCTCCAGTCCCCTCTTCTGCCACTTCCCAACCTGTCCTTGATATCACCAGCTACACTGGATTCTGGGGAAAGACTCACCTTAAAAGTCCATTTATTTAGCCTTGGACACTGAAGTCCTTTCAAATTCATTGTTTTATTCTAAAGATTGGCCTAACGTTATAAATACCAAAGACTGTAGAACTCAGAAAGCATCTGGCAGGCAGTGACTCTTTAGTAGAGGAGTGACTGGTTGCCCCTTTTCTTCTATGGCCCTTTATTTCCCTCTTCTCACTTTTCCTCCATCTCCAACTCAACTCTATCTCCTTACAATATTGTGTTGCCCACAAGCCACTGGACATTTCTAATGCTAAACAATAAACTCTTCCATTTAAACACTTGGAACATATTCCTCTTTGGTCTTCACTCTGGAAGAGTAGCTGTCGTCCAGTGGAGAGGTCGTGTCCTCTATTGTGAAGTAAAAACTTGCTAAAACATGTCACTCCACGTATCTCTGCATGACTAGAAACAGCAAGACACTTTCTCCTAGGAGAAGAAATAAGACCCAGTTACATTTCCTAGCTCAAGGCTTCCTTGTTCTCAGTGTTATGTGCTGTGCAGTTTTTGCTACTGTTTATCAACTCCACAAAGTAATAATGGTGCAAATAAACTGGTGTCTTGTACGGACATTAGTTCTTATGAATTCAGAGAACTGTTTTCCCATGTGAGCTAGTGCATCCTCAGACTTCATTTCACCTCTCAATGTTAAATATCATTTTAATGTCAAAAAGACTTAAAGAAACAACTTGGGGACCAGAAAACGTAACCACGGCATGCTTTTCAATTAGAGCCTTGGATAGAAGGCAGGTTAAAGCAGGCCCACAGAACTCCACACCTGCAACAGTGACAGAGTAAGGGAAGACAACCTAAAGTCACAAGAAAATGAAGAAGTACCATAAGCAACAGCTTGGCATGCTATTTTAGTGACGATTCATATGCAAATGGTTTACAAAGGGGATGGGCAACCAACTTGTGTCAAGGCCTGGGGTGGAACACACACCACGCAGGTTCAGCTAGGAGAAGACTTCAGCAGTGCACACTGTGGCCCCAGACTCCGATCATTGGATCCCACTGTTGGTGAGTTTCCCATCTAGGTCAGCATTCCTCATGTTTACACAAAGCTGCTGACTGGTTCCACTTCACCGCCATGTTTTCTTTGTTATGTGTAAGATGACTGACTACTCCCTCTCTCCACCTCCACATTTTTCAACAGATGACAGTGGATTGTAACCCTGGAGATGGTACAACCTTTCTCTCAGGAGGTGACTCCATGTAAAACCATTCACTTTATCCAATTTTCCTGTTTGTAGTCTCTGAGCCTTTCCACATATAAACAACACATACAGTTCTCTTCCATTGGTGTAAGACGCTCAGTGTGAACGGCGTGAGGCCATCTATCCTCAAATTTTCATGTTTTCTCTTTTGCTTGATCGTTCAAAGTATAGTTTCTCATGTCACCCAAGGTCATAACTGGAACTAACCATCATATTTTCAGAATAATCAACTCCTTTAACATTTCCCTGCATTATTCCAAATACTACACTCAACAGCTATGATTTGCATGTTTGTTTTTATAAATTTAGCTTAGAATTTGTCTCATCCCTGCATCCAGTGTCAGGGACACATCAATGCATTGTTGTCCCTTAGGTTTTCTTTCTCATTTTTCTTCTCATCTCTAAAATGATATAAGGAATACACAGCAGTAAAACACACATGGACATTTTTTCCTTCATTTGCACGTTTGCCCTAGTGGGCTGTAAGCTCTCAAGCCTGCCATTGCCTTCTCTCCAGTAGAAAGTAAGTCTAGCACCTCTCTTTGTGTGAATTTGTTAGAGTGCCTTTTAAATGAGGCTCTGTAATCCAGTGCAAATGGGAAAAAAATTGATTGCTGAATTAAAACAAGTTGGGACATAATTTAATTAGTACCCAGGCAGAAGGGAAGAGAAACTACTTTAGGTCTTTAATGGGAAATCAATTTTGCAAGAAAATTTCACATTTTTAAGCCTAATTAGAAAAACATTTACTTCACAGAAAAGCATTTTGAGAATACATTTTCAATCAAATGGCAGGTTTTTATTTTTGGCTTCCAGTGGTCAATTACTTGGTACTTCTCTGAAATGAGTTAAAGTTATTTCTTACAGCATCTTTATGGCCAAAGATCATCAAACAGTTGACATCTTCTAAGCACATTTAGGAATCTGATGGCAATTCGAGCTGTCAGAGACATTTCCCCCCAACACACATACCAACAAACAAGTGTGCAGACTGCAGACAGCTCTAAGTGACACTTGAACAGTAACCCTGTCTGTCACTCACAGGCCGTCACATTTAGGAAGTGCCCTGAAAACATTCACTTACATCCACAGCCTTTCAGGAAGCCATAGATCATGTGCTTCCAGACAGGAGTGGTCTCACTCTTCCCCAGTGAAAAACACTGAGGGGAGCGGGAGGGGGCAGGGCAGACACACACACGGGAAGATCGTTGCTGATACTTTTAGTTGCACAAACAATTCTCTCCCGCCATTTTTTGTAATGTATCGCTCACTGTACTTTCCTTCCCATGAAGCTCGTCTTTATCCTGCTTCTGTGACTCCCATAGAGCCATAGGTTAGCTTTAACCAAGTTTTAAGGGTAAAGAGTAAATGAAACAACTTAAGTCTCTGTTCAAAATATGAAAATGAAAATCAGAGGAATAAGAAAATATGTTCCAGGGAGGATTCAAATAATATTCAAATAATAATAATAAACCCAAGTATATTATGCCTAGAAAATTTGCTGTTAAACACCTAGATGGTACACGAGATACCACTTAGCAGTACTGAAGTATTTTATAGTATATTAGACCATGATCTACTGCAGGATTTTCAATATCTATGTGTCCATCCTATGGAACTCAGAATATATCAGTTTCACTTTACCCTACAGAAGTATAGACACACTTGATATTTTTTTTCATCTGTGCCAACTCTTAATAATGAAAAGGACTAAAGCCAAATTTAAAACTCTTTACAATCTTTTCTGGGGAGAGGCCAAAACCAAACAGTGCTGGAGTTCCTTTGGTTTTGTTGTTGTTGTTTTCTTTAATCTTTTTTTACAGTCCAGACTTTATCCCTCTCCCGGTCCACCCACCCTCTGACTGTTCCACATCCCATACCTTCCCCACCCAAGTCTCCAAGAGGATGTCCCCACCCCACCCCCACCCCACCAGACCTCCACACTCCCTGGGGCCCCAAGTCTCTTGAGGGTTAGATGCATCTTCTCTGACTGAGTCGAGACCCGGCAGTCCTCTGCTGTATATGTATTGG